CTCTGGCCCCTGCCCCCTGGCACTGCCCCCTGCTGTCGTAGGCCCCTGTTCAGATCTCTGTCCAAAGTGCGCTGTTTTCTTCCCTTCTAAATTGATCCATGGATCCAATCCAAGCGTGACTGAGCTCGGAGGCTGGAGAATGTTCACTCAATTGCTCCCTTGTTTCACCAGGGGAAGGTGAGACCTATGGCCTAGTCTGTGACACTGTGCAATGCCGCCTCCTCCCCTCCAGCGTTGTGAAATGACACTCTGGTTTCTTAGGCTGACATTTCCAGACCTGGCTGCCCAAAGTCAGGCTTCTGAATCAGGAGGGCTGATTGTCAGAGGTGCACACGCAGAAGCCAAAGGGAACCATATATTCTCAGCACCTCTGAAACCCTCCTTAAGTGGGCATCTAAAGGTAGATGTAGGTGTCTAGCTTTGAGTGCCCACGGGGGAAAGTGTTGGCCTCAGTTGGATCTCATCTGGCCACTGATGTGGTTTTGGTCATCTATTGGCAGAGCAGTTCCTGAACTTGCAGACTGCCACAAAGGCACACAGGAGGAGGAAGACTGCATCCAGGAGGGTGTTCATGGCCCCCACGGACCACTCCTTGGAAGAAGCAGACAGCGAGGAAAGGAAATGCTTCCAAGCCTTCATGGACCAACTGGGAGCAGACAATATCTTTGAAGAGTAAAAGTGCACCAGCCACTCCTCCATTAGCACTTGGCAGAGGGTGCAGGGCTGGGCCAGGACCAGCTGGTTACAGTTGTGAGAAGGGTAGAATCCACATGTAACACATTGGCAACCAGGCCTGGGAATCTAGGGAGCTCAGGAATGGCTTAAGGCCACTTTGCCTGCCCTGCCAGCCCTGCTCCAAACATAGGAGCAGAGGAACTGAGAACCAGTCAAGTCCTTTAGCAGCCCCTTTCCAGTCTTTACATCCCATCAACCACTACAGCAGAGATATAATCATTCAGGAGCCAAATTAGCCATTGGGAGTAGCCAAAAAAAAACCTGTGGTCATGTGCAGGGCTCAACAGTTGGGGTAATCTACTCGCCCGTGGCGAGTAGATTTTAGCCCGGCACAATGCCACAGTGCGATCAACACATGCGCAGTGCGCCAAAACGCGCGGCTGGTGAGTGGGGCTCGCCACCGCTTGTCAAGCCCTAGTCATGTGAATTAATTGTTTCCTTTACTAGCTTTATATAGCTATATATTAGTCCCACAGCAAAATGACTGACCAAGTGTCTACAACTGGTTAACAACACCTCGGCTACGTCTACACTGGCACGTTCTCACACAAAAACTCTTTTGCGGAAGAGTTCTTCTACAAAACTCTTCCAGAAGAAAGTGTCTACACTGGCATGTACTTTTGCACAAGAGATGTGCTTTTGCACAAGAGCATCCATGCCAGCGTAGACGCTCTCTTGCGCAAGAAAGCTCTGATGGCCATTTTAACCATAGGACTTTCTTGCACAAGAAATTCATGTTGCCGGTCTAAACTGGCCTCTTCTGGAAGAGCTCTTGCGCAAGAGGGCTTACTTCTGAGCAGGAGCATCAGAGTTCTCGTGCAAGAAGCCCTGATTTTATACATTAGAACGTCAGTTTACTTGAGCAAGAACACGCAGCCAGCGTAGACAGGCAGCAAGTTTTTGCGCAAGAGCGGCTGCTTTTAGGGCTGTGTCTAGACTGGCCAGTTTTTCCAGAAAATCAGCTGCTTTTCTGGAAAAACTTGCCAGCTGTCTACACTGGCCGCTTGAATTTCCGCAAAAGCACTGACGATCTCATGTAAGATTGTCAGTGCTTTTGCGGAAATACTATACTGCTCCCGTTCAGGCAAAAGTCTTTTTCCGAAAAACTTTTGTACAAAAGGGCCAGTGTAGACAGCAGAGATTTGTTTTCCGCAAAAAAGCCCCGATCGTGAAAATGGCAATCGGTGCTTTTTTGCGGAAAAGCGCATCTAGATTTTGTGGAAAAGCGTCCTGCCAATCTAGACAGGCTTTTCCGAAAATGCTTTTAACGGAAACCTTTTCCATTAAAAGCATTTCTGGAAAATCATGCCAGTGTAGACGTAGCCACCGTGTTTTAACATCATGTGCTGCAAAGAGCTGCAGGAGGCACTTTATAGAGCCATTGGCGGTGCCTGAGCCTCAGGCAGAGTACACTGCACTCTGGGTAGGTGCCCGAGTCTCTGCACAGGTAGCTCTGGTGCTCTGTAGCTCTCTCTTATGGGATTACAGCTGCTGGCAGGGGATCTTTCCCCACTTCTCACCAGCAGCTAAGCCCTGGTGCAGGGTTCTCCTAGCGATGGCCAATAGGTCAAATCAGGCCCGGACTTTGCTTAGCTTGCAAGACCCACGGGGGTCTGACTGCTTTACACAGAGCATCCTAGAGCTTACGGCCCGAAAGGACCATTTTATCACCTAGCCTGACCCCCAAACACGGGCAAACACCAGGGATCTTAACTAAGGATGTTAAATGTGTTTAATCAAGTAGTTGATGGAATTTCCATGATTAGTCAGTCAAGGGGCGGGGGCGGCGTGGGAGAGGACTGCAGAGGTGCAGCTGAGTTAGCTCCAGTCCAGGCAGAAGCGCAGTGTTTGGGACCGGGCATGAGTCCCAGCTCGTGCCCAGTCCCCCACTGTGCCTCTACCTCCTCTGCCCTCCACCAAGAGGGTGGTGGTGGGGAACCGGCTCCTGTTCCCCCGATAGAGGCAGCGGGAGGGTGGGGAAAGCAACTAGTCAAGTAGTGACTCGATTACTCAACTAGTCACTTACATCCCTAATCTCAAAGCCTCTTTCTCCCACTCCTCAGCCAATCAGAGATTTGGGGGCTCTGGGTGAAGCTCCGACAAGACGAGCCTCAGCTGTTGGGGAACCTGGAGGAATTCTTGGCCAAGATGACAAACCGGATCAAGGACACTCGGCGCGAAAAGGTGACACTGGAGCTGACCTTGAACAAGTGAGTGGCACAGTGGGGTTGGTATGGGGAGCCTTTTCTATAGCTGCAGCCTTCAAGCAGGGGAGGTGAGTGGAGACTGGGGCAGCTAGAAATGCAGCGTTGGTGGCTCTGGGAGGATGGATGGTTCCAGGCATTAACACATTTGGCCTTCCTCTTACACTCCTGGTCTAGCCCAGCCCAGACGTGAGGCTGCCAAGGGCCATGTTCTTGTCTATCTGAAATGGCCCTAGTGGCCCTTCCTCTGCAGCCAATCCCCTCACTGGCAGCTGCAGGAGTGACAAAAAGGGCCCAATCCCCTCCCATTGGAATCAATGGAGAGACTCCCCGTGTCAGATCAGGCCCCACAGAGTGGCCCTGCCAGGCTGGGGTCCAGGCAGGCCTGAGACAAGAGCAGCCTGTGGGAGGAGCTGGCCCAGCTGTTGCCCATGTTG